GCTTTGATTTAATTATCATCTTTTGAGTTTATGTTTTGATTTTCCCTGTCAGTTTAGTAACTCTCTATTGTCAGGTTCTTTTTTGTTGCTTTTATTGTTTGTTCATTTTCCCCAGCCTATTTCTTGATCTTTAAATTCATGTTAAAATTGGTTCTACTTTCAGGATGGAGGGGGCACTGTCTCAAGCATTAGTATTTTTGCTGTTTCTGGGGGCCTATAAGTTCTCAGTTTTTCCAAGGTGATGTGATCTAAGGAGAGGTGTGGTTATTGCTCTCTCTGCCTGTGTTCTGGTCTGTGAGCACTCATTTCTGCCCTGAACTGTTGCCTCTCCCTTGTAGTCGCATGCTCCATTGTGCTAATGCTTCTCCTCACCCTGGGAGTATGACCCAGGGTTGCATATGGGAAATGCAACAGAGACTTGCACCCTTTGTCAGCAAAGTTCCTTTATATTTTCCTTCTGACCAGTTGTCTGACTCCCTTACCCTCTATGGGCTGAGAGCTCTGGAATCTGTCATGGCAGATTTAGTCACCCTAGCTAGCTAGCTTGCTGGGACACAGTCTGTACAGAAACAGCCTGGGTTGGACTGTGCTCCACTCTTACCCCAGTGAAACCAAACTTTCTGGCTGAGCCTGGGCCTGGAAAATTGTTTCACCTCTTCCTTTGGCTGGTGCTGCCACTCCGGAATTCATTTTTGGCATTATTTTAATGTTGCTTATAGGGGGAGTTGGGAGAGTTCAAGCAAGTTCCTGCCTTTACTCCACCATCTTGGCTCTGCCCTGTGATTGCTTTAAAATGCAAAACAGTAGAATGAGAGGAGAGTGGATTGTACCTTCTTCTCTTTTTCCTCTTACAATTATTTTTCTTTCATGCCTTAGCTCCAATGTCTCCTTCTCATAAAGACTTTTCTGATTTCCTCTAGTTACTAATGCTTGCTTCCTCATCAAATTACCTTGTTTTCATTTACCTGTATCTGTGTTGTATCACTCTCATCCCCTACCCCAAGGTCCTTGAGGACAATGGCTGTTATTTTTTCTTTCTTACCATTGCCTTTGGCAGAGGAGGAAGCCTCTGATTTCCTTCCTTCCTTCTTTCCTTCCTTCCTTCCTTCCTTCCTTTCTTCCTTCCATCAGTCCAGGAGTTCTAGTTGATGAAAATATCTCCACAAATTCAATGTAGCACAACCTATTTTATATTCATTATTGTTGTTATTGTTATTACTCAAAATTGTGAATTCACAATTACAGGTAACTTTCAATGAGGATGTGGAATGGTATTTGCTTTGCAATTTGTAGCTCAGTGCCTGGGGCATTGAGAGTTGAAGTGACTTGTAAATATAATACCTTCACTAATTATGTGTATTTTTATGTTGTTCATTTTAAGAAGCTAGATAATCTGAAATTTGAACTGTTTCAAGACTATGATATTCCATGTTCCCAGTCTTACAATATTTCTAGGCAAGGATTATTATTAAAAAGAAACAAAGAGGGTGCCTTGCTTAAGAAAGAAGCCTGGCATCATTAAAAGCACTGAACAATTTTCCAAATGTAAGATGGATATGAGTAGCCTGCAGAATATTGCCAATGTAAAATTGCTCAGGAAAAGTACTGTAACTGATAGCTGAGAAATATTGTGTGATCAGAACAGGAGATAAGGTAGGACATGGAATGAAGGCAAAGGGTCAACTCATGGAAAACCCAAGTATTCCATGGATACCTTAACAGAGTCAAGAAATATAGAGGAAAGACCCCAGCACATTGAGGGGGCTCCTGGTAGAGTATTTATGGGGGCACATGAACATGAACAACAAATGGGCTGTGAACTGCACCATTGGAGGAAGTGTCCACACTGAAGAGATCACGGATTTAACAAAAGACTAAAGAAGTAAACCAGTAGACTTAGCAATTAAATGTAAAATTCTATATTGTTGACAGTCTATATGGATATGTGCTAAGCTTAGGACTTTGCTATTTTATTTGTTCTCCTCTGTTACAATGTAAGTTCCTTAAGATTAAGGAAATATTTTCATCACGTTATAGAAACTGTGTACAATAAACACTCACAGTGTTATGTGCGAAGTACTCAATCAATGTTAGATTGTCAGGGTGACAACAACATCATGGCTGAGTATTTTTTGAAGAAAATGAACAAATTGATTATAAAGTCTTTTTCCAATATAAAATATCATAAAAACTCTAACATGAAAATTGAACATTGTGGAGTTAATCTTCCTTGTGGTTGGCATATTTTCCACTCCTTGATTTTGGATTAAGCACAAAGTAATTATCTAAAAGGGTAAACTTTTATAGAAAATCAACTGAACATATTAAATGTTCAAGTTCTTCATACTATTTAGGTGCAAGTCTTGGGTACAACTAAATGAATTCCTTACTCTTTAATCTAAATACAAGTGTCACCACATTTTCTTTCTTTTAAATTTAGCATCAGTCACACAGGATTTGACACATACCCATTTAGTTGAAATTTTCTTTTAGAGAAATTTTTTTCTTCTTGATATAACCATCTGTTTTAGAATTTCTTTAATTTTCTACCCATGGTAAATCAATCATTGTTCCTGGCATGTTTTCCCCAAATACCTCAAAGTAGAAGTTGTTTTTTCCTGAAAATGTGAAGTTCCCGTATTATTCCTCAATAGCTCCTTAATTTCTTACCTGTGTTCTTTACCATAGACATTATAAATATTATAAATACATCATATGTATATATTATGTGTAACATATAAATATAAAAAATTTAAAATCTCATGGACATCCTTTCATTGTCTATCATTTGATCTAAACATTTTGGGGATCACACAGAAGTGTATGTCTTTTGGCATGTTCAATATTAATGACTTCCACATACTGTTTACAGCTTTTGAGTTTTTCACTGTTTTTTTTTGCTATGTTTCTTGGTTATTTTTTGATTTATTAAATATATATACGTACATACACACATATACATATATATATGTATATATATATATATTATATATATATATTTCTGTGTGCTCCTTATAGAATTTAGGAAGTGTGCTTAGTTAGCAGCTACTCTTTGATGAACAGTGGATTAATATTAAGAGTTGATGACAACTCAGTTACCTTAAGAATAGAATCATAAATCCAGTTCCCAAGCCACATTCTAGATATGCTTTAAGAACATTCCCAAGATTGAAAATAGAAAGAAGAAAGAAAACAGAAGGGGATGCATGGAATACCACTTCAGAGATTTCTTTCAATCTCAATTTAAAGAACTGTCATAAAAGTTCACATTTCTGTATCACTTTACAGTTTAGAGAGGACTTGTGTCATAACCCCATGAGGTAAGAAGTAGAAATGTTACTATTCCTATTTTATGGAAATAGAGAAAACTAAGGATGGGATGAGAAAACAAAGGCTCAGATAGGTTCATTGTGATTTAACTATAGTCATGTGGCTATTAAGTGGCAAACTTTTTGGATGTAAATCTGATTCCACTTCAATCAGATGCCATGTGCCATTATGTGCTTTGGACATTATGACTCATCTCATATTAAAAAAAATGGCCGTGCTCTTTGCCAAGGCAAAGGCCCTCTATGTGCGCAGGTGTTACCTTCCATTCCATCTCTTCCTGCAGTTTCTCTTTCTCTCATCACTATTTTTAAACTAATCTTCAATTTCTCCCTTTCTGCTAGCTGTTTCTCTACTGCCTACAAACATGGTCATGTTTTCCCATCCTTAAAAATTTCACTTGACAAAATGTATCATGCTAGCTGTTATCCCATATGCCACATCTCTCTTCCATTTTGTGGCTAAACTCCTTGAGAACACCATATACAATCAATGCACTTATTTGCTTTCCTCTCACTCTCTTCTTTCTGGACTCTGACCTTATCATTCAACTGAAAACTGCTCTTTACAAAGCTTCCAGTGAACTCTTAATTGCAAAATTGAATTATCTTTTTTCTTTACTCATCCTTCTTGGTGACCTCTCTTCAACCTTTGATACTCTCAGTCACTCTCTTATCCTTGTCTTCTTTTCTTCTGGGTTTTCATGATAACCTTTCTTTCCTGGTTCTTTTCTTACCTGTCTCACTGCCACCTTTACTGGATCTTCATGCAAGTCAAACCCGTTGACCACGTATGTCCCTCAGGTCTATGTTGTGGGTCCTCTTGTCTTTTACCTTTAGACTATTTTACTTGCTGATCTTATTGCTTCCTATGAATTAAATTATCATCTCTCTGCTGATGATTCTTAGGTTTAACTTTCTTAGCCCCATTTTACAATTTGTGAAATGATAAGTATAGTACCTGCCACACAGTGTTATCAAGAGACTCAGTGGGGCAGCTAGGTGGCACAGTGGATAGAGTACCGGCCCTGAAGTCAGGAGGACGTGAGTTCAAATCTGGCCTCAGACCAAACACTTGACACTTACTTAGCTGTGTGACCCTGGGCAAGTCACTTAACCCCAATTACCTAAAAAAAAAAAAAAAAGAAATGAAAAGAAAAAGAAAAAAAGGAAAAAAAAGAGACTCAGATAGGTTAATAGATGTAAAATGCTTCCAGAAACATAAAATGCTATAAAAATATTAATTCTTAAGGAGAAATCATTTGGAGTATCAACTCAGGTTGATATCCCACATAATCATAGGATATTATCAGGGATTATCCCATTTCCTTTGTCTAAATACCCTGGATAGCAGGAGCAAGTTACTGTCTCATTGCTTCTTGGACCGGAGCTTTGTTCTGGGAGAAATTAGGGAAGAGAAGGGGAAGGGAAAAATATTTTTATAGCTCTTACTATGTGTCAGGCATTGTGTTAATTGCTTTTTTGTTTGTTAGGTTTTTTTTTTTTTTACAAATACTATCTCATTTGATATTCAAGTAGAAGATCCTTGGTAATGTGTAAGAAAAGGTTCATTCCCAGAGGAAAAGGGAGTTACAGAAGCCCATCACATTTACTGAAAACTTGACCAATTTGTACAGAGAGAAACGCAGGATGAAATATGTGTTTGTTTTTCAGCTCCCATGTGTGACTTTGAAATAGACAGCTGTGGTTGGTATGAAGCATATAGTGGGGATAATTTTGACTGGGTCCGAAATTCCAGCAGTACCCTTTCCATAGATTTTCAACAACAGGCCCCAGCTCAAGATCATACTTATAATGAATCTCAAGGTAAGAAGCAAAAAGACATGGTTATTGGAAAGTCTTACAGTTTCTCAGTCATGATGTTAAGGAAGAGCTGGTTTAAATTTTATCTATTCTGATACTACAACAACTAAAAGAAAGGGGAAAAAGTCAACCAAAAGGATTTTGTCCATGGCACGTGTTGAACAATACTCCCCCCCACCCTAAAAAAATGAGTTGAAAGTTTATTTGGATTGAACTGGTTAAGCTTAGTACTTGCTTTGGCATTTTGTGGACAAAGCTTGAGTCAAGTCTGCATTGGAATCTACAGAGAGGGTGAGGAAACCCTAGATTCACATCAAAAAGAATCAATTGAAGAAAAGAGAGGTGTTTAGGTCAGAGGAGACAAGATGGGGACACATGTAGTTGCATCCAAGAATTTGAAGATGGTTTAGGTTTGTTATGTTTAGATTCAGAGTACAGAATTAGAGTCAGTAGAAGCAAAGTTTGATTTGCTGTCAAGGAAAACTTCCTACATTAGAGTTGTCCCAAAGCAGGACTGAGTGGCTTTCTTAGGGAGTAGGTTTTCTCCTCATTGGAAGTCTGGAAGCCAAGGGTGGATGACCATCTGTTCGACAATGTAGAGCAGCATTAAAAAAAAATAAATGGATTGGACTAGATGGTCTATGAGTTAGAGCACACCCTTCAGACAGATTCTGTGAGCCATTAAGTATTTAAAAAAACAAGATGTGTTGGTTAAAGAAAAATTATTGCCCATTTGGTGTTGTATAGGCTAGCCTAGAGAGGTCGTAATCTTTACTGCAATACCTGACAGTTTCTCTTGGATCCAATAGGTGAAGTAATTTTTTTTTTCTCAACAGGACACTTTATGTTCATTTTGAAAACCAGCAGCAGCATTTCACAGGTGGCTAAACTCCAGAGTCCAAGGTTCAGCCAGACAGGACCAGGCTGCAGTTTGTCTTTCTGGTAACTATTAAGTACTACAGTAAATTGATGAAACATCTTTCTTTCTTTTGCTTTGCCCGAGAGTGAAGCTGGACTTTGTAGAGGTATACTGTGCATCTCTTTTGAAGCAATTACTGCCTCTATTCTTCAATGGTTAATTAAAATTTCTCTCCAGTAAGAGTTTGAGGAATAAAATGATATTCAGTGCATTTTGACATTTTGGCTTTTGTTTTTGTCTTCAAAAAATTTTTTAACATATGAAAGATTTTGCGAAGCTTAATATGTGCTTGTGATGAATGGCCTTGGATGAAATTTTGAGTTCAGGGCATTTTTGAAGAAATATGCTTCTTTGAAGTAATTTGGAGTTTCTAAAAAAGGCTTTTGGAGACTCTTAAAAAGAGTGAGAACAATTTCCTTGAGTATAGTCTTATATATTAGATTTCCTGTACACAGCCTACACAAAGAGCATGATGAAATAAGTTTTGGGGTTCTCTTTGCCAGGCCTTTTTATTCATTAATTTCTTTCATGAACAAGTAAAGCACACACTTGATCAACAATATCACACCCAAGTTTAGGATAAATCTTTTCAATTTACCTGACAATTTCCATACAGTTATCAGATACTCACCCACATGGGCTTTGATGAATAAATGGTCTCATTGATGTATTGCATACCACGACTTATCTCTGACTTCTCATCCTGTCTGGTCCTTGTCTGCATTCTTGCCCAAATCCTTCACAGGTGGTCTGTACAACTTATGGGTTTTATTTTGAATCTCTTGTTACTTTGTGGATATCAGCACAGGATTTCACTTGTTATTTCCTACTCTTGCTGCACATTTGATTATCTTGTTTTCTTATCAGACATGTCCTTGATGACATATTTTACACTTCTTAGAGTCATCATTGTTAATATGCTTCTACCTACTTGTGCCTACCATGTGTCTTTTCATTACCCTGTGTAGCATGTGATTTGTATTTTGTAGAGATCGCACTGTTGAGCATCTAGCTTTATTAGTTTAAACCTGCACTAAGATTTGGGAATGTACTATGCAAAATGAATCAGATGTAGCTCCCTTTGCGGGCTCACTCTCTTAACTTACTCATGCTGACAAGTCAGCCCCAGAGGAAGACTGACTACTATTCCCCTTGGAGTTTTAGGGGTAACCCTGAGGGGTTATGGTTTTCTAATATTATCACTCATCAGCCCCCATTCACTGTGTTCCCTACTATCATTCAGTCAGTAAAATCCAATTAGCTTTTAGAAAAATAATTTACTGAGGAGGTATATTAAAAGGAGTATCTACAAACACTCTTCTTTAGCCCATCCCATATAGGGATGAATTTTCATATTGCATATACAAAGTTCTTGGGAAGAGTGGGTTCAAACTTAAAGTACAATGGTAGTTAAGCATATTTGTAAATAACATGTGAAAGCAATAGGATTTTTGGATTTCTTTTGCCAGGGATACCTGGCCCCCAAAGTCATTTTATTTGTAATTCAAGTTATAATGATTCCCCTTTGGTTCAACTCTCTGTTGGACTTAATAAATTAGTTCCATTATACAGTTCATGGCCAGCATTTCTTTGTTTTTCAAGGAGTCATGATCCTTGAAGATGCCACCATCTCAAGTGACTGTCTTCACTTCTGCTTGCAGGTCCTTTCTTTGTCATTAATTTCTATCGCTCTGACAGACTCTTCTATCAACTGTGTTGAAAGCGGGATCTCTAATAACTCTCTTGATCACCTGGGCACTTTCCTGTTGGAATTTTAATACGTCTAACATCAGGAAGGAATAAACATGAAAGCAACAGTGGGCACCATGTTCTTACTGACACATGGTCCCTGAATGGAAAAAGCATTGTTGCCTTATCTCATGCCTGGCAACTTATAACCATTTTGACTCCCTTGATGCTAGGAAGGAAAAGGAATCACAGAGAATTAGAACACTATTTTTATATGTAGACTCACTCAGTTTTAACTTAGCAACTTGTGAATCATCAGTTCTGACTCCTCAGCCAACCATAAGACTCTTTAACACTACACACTACCAGTCACTCTTAGGTAGAAATCCTATCCTTCAAACATGCACAGTGTTTCACCTTCTGCAGTGTTCTATATATAGAGACTGAGTAAGCTTGCATTTGGGCAAGCTAAAAGCCTGCCTGTTTCCTTTTCATGCTTTTAGCATATGCATGGATCCTTTTGATAAAGACCTTAGATAGAGGAGAAGGCTGGCTTATGGATTGGTCGTCTTTTTTAGTTATTAATGATATCTACAATGTTTTCCATTCACTTGGAATCCTTTCCTCCTTGAGACATTTTGAAAATCCCCCCCCCCCCAAGTGTTTTTAAAATTATACTAACTCCAAGATAGATTTCTGTTGCACATATTTGGTCAGGCCCACTGCTCTTTTGCAAATGACATTTCCATTTTCCAATGTAGCACATGTGTTACTAAAGTATTAGAGTCCAAATGTAGTGAGTTTACTGCTTGAGATGATAAGAATAAATTGCTATAGTATTGTTGGCAGTTATGCTCCATTTCACATCTATTTGTTCTCTTCCTTTTTAGCTTTAGTTTCATCTGTAAATGCTCTCAAGATGATTGGACTTGTTTGTTCATCACACCAAGCTCAATGCATGCTCCTTTTCTTCCCATTGTATTGTGAACCTGTAATGCTCATAATCTTCTATCATGTTTCCCAAATGAGTTTGTTTTCTAAATGATTACTGCCTTTGCCCACACTTCTTTTCTGGGCAAGGGCATCAACTCTGCTGGCTGAAGCAATTTCCATGCCTTTTTGGCCTCCTCACTGTGATGATTGTTTTATACTGGTTAAATATCTCAGAAATGACAGTTAACAGAGACAATGTCTGTACTCTTACCTATTTATAATTTTTTGGGGTCAATATTAGTCAATAAACAGTCAATAAACATTTATTAAATGCCTACTATGTGTCAGGCACTGTGCTAAGTGCAGCTAATGGCTTGTTGGGTAGGACCTTTTATAACTGGATGTAGAGTCTTCCTTCATCTTGTTGGTGGATGCTAGTGATGATAAATAAGTAAATGCATACACACTCAAAGAAAAGTTTGCTACATTTCAGTCTTTCTCTTTTCATTAAAAAAGAAAAGACTTGGAAGTTCATGTATTGAAGCCATTTGCAGAGCATAAGTTGTAGGCATGCTCTTGCATTTATTAAACATTCTTGTATTCCTCTGTAGAAACTTTTAAGAAAGGCATTGCATCAAATTCACACAATTAACATTTTGCTTCAGAGTTCATGATGTCAGAACTTATTATGTTCATTCCCAAAGATGAGAATTTTTCTATCCAACTGTGGTTTACAGTTTAATCACACAGATTCCTACATTATATGCTGAACTCCTTAGAATGGAAATACAGGATCCTGAAAACATGAGAGGCTGAGCAGTGACAGAGAATCTAATGCCCATATGGTGTACGAAGTGATGTATCAGGAAATGAAGAGAAGCAACGTTTGTTATACTTAATGATTCATTGATCCAGCAGAAGCCAGCGCCATTCTGAATTGTTCATATGTTTCACAAACCATTCCATTTCTCTCTTTTCTGCTCTTTTCCAGGTTTTATAACTATGGTCAGGCAGTGGGAGCAGCAGAGATGCAGCTACATGTAGAGGGGACCAATTACTCAACTCCTCTCTGGAGAGTATTATACAACCAGGGAAACCAGTGGTCCAAAGCATTCGTTCAGCTTGGACGTCTCACTCAGCCCTTCCATTTATCACTGGAAAAAATCAGTCTTGGAGTTTATGATGGAGTCTCGGCTATTGATGATATCAAATTTGAGAACTGCGCCCTTCCCCGTCCCGCCATGAGTTGTGAAGGCCCGGATCATTTTTGGTGTAGACAGACCAAGGCTTGTATAGACCGTATTCTATTATGTGACCTGGTGGATAATTGTGGAGATAACTCTGATGAGACTCATTGCAGTAAGTATTTCTAGCCTCTTTTTTATTCTGTTTCTTCTTGCCACTTTTATCCTAGGTTGATGGTCTAAGACTTGATTTCAAAGGGAATCAAAGTCTCTTGGTCCACTATTAGTTCTCAGGCCTTGCCATTTGAACATTGTAGTCCAGAAGAATCTCTAATGCACCTGCTCCAGAAGCTCAGTCCAACAGGCCAGATTCAAGTTATCTACCAAGAAGACAATTTCTGCTCCTCTCCTACATTGACATAGGTCATTTGTCAAAAGGTGACACTTTCTTTGGATTTCCAGCAACAAGCACAGTCCTTGGCATGTTTGGGTGTCCCAAAAGTCTTAGCTAATTAAGCTTTAATAGTTTAACACTGAATTGACTTCAGAAAGCCCGGTATAGTTGGCTTTTAATAAAATGCTTGTCAACTTACTGATTGGATCTCAGATTTTGTGCTTTATTGGCATCACCTTTGAGAACTCCTATGAGTGATATTGGATGGAGACATACAGAACAGAACTTTGGTGGAGGTGCTGAATTCACCCATCTAACATTTAGAGGTATGTTCAATAATTATCAGGATGATCATGACAGAACTTGTTGGCAGTGTTAATAGTTTCATGCAGTCCTTGGAAGTTTGAGTAGCTAGGCAAGGCAGACTTTGAAAAAATCTTTCAGATTAGTTACTGAATAGGAATAAATAACCCCACAAGATCTTTCTTGTGATCAGCTGGGTACAAGTGCAGCTGCACATCCTAACCCACCTTTTATCCTCATTATATTGTCTGAAGGACCCATAGCAATGAAAATAAGGACAGTCTTCCTTTTTTTAATAGTATTTTATTTTTCCCTAATTACTTATTAAGAAAATTTTTAGTACTCATTTTTACAAGATTTTGAGTTCCTAATTTTTCTCCCTCCCTCTCTCCATTCCCCTCTTCTGAAAATGGTAGGCAGTTTGATATAATTTATATAGTGCTACCGTGTAAAATATATTTCCATATTTGTCACAGTTGTGGAGGAAGAAACAGATCAAAAGGGAATCAAACCACGAGAAAGAATAAAGAAAGTGATAAAATATTCTTCGATCTGCATTCTGAGTCCATTAGTTCTTTATCTGGATATGGACGGCATTTTCCTTCTCTGTCCTTTTAACTTGTCTTGGAGCATTGTGTTGCTGAGAAGAGCTGAGTTATTCAGAGTAGATCATCGCACGATGTTGCTGATACTATGTACCATGTTATCCCAGGTCTGCTCATTTTACTTTACATCAGTTCGTACAAGTCTTTCTAGGTTTTTCCAGAAATCTGCCTGTTTATCATTTCTTATTGCACAATAGTATTCCATTACATTCATATTCCACAGCTTGTTCAGTCATTTCCCCTACTGATGGGCATCCCCTCAATGTCCAATATTTTGCCACCACAAAAAGGGCTGCTATAAATATTTTTGGACATGTAGGTCCCTTCCCATTTTTAATTATCTCTTTGGGATACAGACCTAGTAGTGGTATTGCTGGATTAAAGGGTATACATAGATTGCTCGCCCTTTGGGCGTAGTAAGGACAGTCTTTCAAAGAAGAATAAAACCTGCTGTACCTTCAAAAGGCAAGGCAACATTTCTTGGTGTATGTATATGTATTTACTTGGTTCCTTTTAGGGTAGAGATGGGTACGCCATTCCCCTGACATTGACCTAGAAAATGAAAATTCACTATGTAGGTACTGTTCAGCCAGACATCGCAGAAAACATCTTACCTTTAGCGCCAGTTAAAAATAAAATAAATTTTAAAAGCTCAGACACCTGATAGTGTCCTCTGCTCTATAGTTAAAAAGTAACACCTGGGGAATCACACTGCATGTTGCCCAGTCTAAGTCACAGCTGGGTTTGATTATTCACAGGTGAAGAAATATCAGATGGAAGTTTACCCCTCATTTGACATTTACTCACTTGGTTACCTTCTTTAGGCCTGAGCGGAGGCGCAGCAGTTTCTGTGAGTCAGATGATTTGGGCTTGCTCGACTGCACTTATTCATAGACAATTTTGCTTATTACATTTTAGTAATTCTTCACCTTAGGTTCCAAGTGCAGATGCAGAGAGGGATAGTTAAAGAGAACTGACATGAAATTTCTAAAATATTAACCTATGGTAATGAAGCTAAAAATAAGTGGAGACCCTCATTTATTCTCTTCATTTTTCTTTCACTCTACTCCAGCCACACACCATCTCCATATCCTCCCTTTCCTTCCCAAGTAAGTCCAAACAACCACTACATAGGAAGCTGGCATCCTATAAAACCCTGGAACTGTGTACAAGGATGTTGAGTAGACCTGTGATTTCATTAGTACAGAGAGATATAAGGAAACCCCTTTCTTCCAATGCAAGTCAGCACTTTGCAACTACTCATAAAAAGGAAAATGTTATATGCCTTCTAAAGGCATAGCAATATTTTTGGGTGTATGTATAGGTTCCTGATTCTTTTTAGAATCTCCCACCCTGCCCTAGAATCTCATGGAGATTGCAACCTTATTGGGGGAAGAAGACTTTCATGCTGAAACAACAGCCCATTACATAACATAGTTCATAATTAGCCACTAAATTTGTGGTAGATTCCCTTTCCACTTTCTCTTGTCTCAATCCATTTCAATCCAATTGAACTCAATAGGCTTTTATTAAGTATTTTGTGTGTCAGAAGTTTTGCTAGGTGGTGGGGGCATGAAAAAAAACCAAGATAGTCTCTGCCCTCAGGGAGCATATATTCTCTGGGAAGGTGGATGTTGTCTTTCTTGTTCTTGAAGAGGACCAAAATGACATCACTGTGTTAGAGACAAGTTACAGATTGTCTGATTGTGGTTGATCAGACCAATATGAGCTTGGAATGCTCTACCACAGGTTGGGCACAAATAGTCCACATGCACATTTTGGGTGGATTCTCTAAATTTTCACATCTCGCATTTCTTTTGAGCTTCTTCAATTCTTCTTTGCTCATAGAGCACAATACCTTCTTTGCTGTGGGCACACCATGCTGAATGGTCCTGTGCCAGTATCTCCCATGTCAGGCAATCAGTTCCAAAGATCTTAAGAGAGACTTTTATAGTGTCCTTGGATCACTTTTTCTGACAATCATTTGAGCACATATGTTGTATGAGTTCTCCATAAAGTAACGTTTTAGGGAAGGTTACGTTTGGTATTCAAACAATGTGGCCAGCCCGTCAGAGTTGCGCTCTCTGCAACAGTGTTTCAATGATTGGTAGTTTGGTTCAATAAAGGACATCAGTGTCTGGCATCTTATCCTGCCAGGTGATCTTCAGAATCTTCCTAAGACAATTCAAATGGAAGTGATTCAGTTTCCTGGTGTGGTGCTGGTAGACTGTCCAGGTTACACAGGCATACAGCAATGAGGTCAGCACAAAGGCTCTGTAGACCTTTGGTCTGGTAGTCAGTCTAATATCTCTTCTTTCCCACACTTTCCTTTGGGGCCTGCCAAACACTAAGCTAGCTCTGACAATGTATGCATAAACCTCATTATCAGTGTGTACGTCCCTGAAAAGCATACTGCCAAGGTAAGTGAACTTATCCACATCAAGCTGTAACTGATGGTTCCACATTTGGATGGTGTGGTGCTAGCTGATAGAGCACCTGTTTTTTCTTGGTGTTAATTGTTAGGCCAAAATTAGCACAGCCAGCAGAGAATCTGTCCATACTTTGTTGCATCTCTACTTCAGAGGCTTCATTGAGTCTGTGGAAGAGATAACTGTGTATGATCTTTTAAGGAAGGGAGGAGACCATTGTCAACAATGATACCACATCCCTCTCACAGCTGAGGGCCAGGCTCTTCTTGCCTTTAAAGATGATAATTTGTAATTCTAATCAGCATTAATGTGCTTATAGAAGGAGGGATTCTGAGAACCTTCCTTCAAGTCTTTGTCCATTCACTGAATACTGTGCCAAGAGCCTTCCGAACAGATTTATTGTTTAGTATTTCTTTAGACTCATAGAAATTTGAATAAATAAAATAATAAACATGCATAAACCAAACAAATAAGCAAAAAAAATGGGTGGTGAAGTCCATAACAATTGGAAAAAATCAGAGGAAAATATAACTGATAGGGGATGGAATATGCAGGTAAGGCTGTGTGGACGAGGAGATAACTATTGAAGGTTGGAAAGGATTTGAGTAGACAGAAGATGGGGCAGAGGGACATTCAAGGTGAAGGAAATAATTTAAAGTTATGAAGGTGTGACTATATATATGCTGCAAATGGAATAGAAAGGAGGCTTGGAAACTATGGATGGTTAGGTAGAGCAGGATTAGCTTATCATAGTTTCTCTTAAAAGCTAGGCAAAAGATGTTGTATTTGATAACTGGGGAAATTAGGGAACTATTAAAAGTTAATTTGGCAATAGTATGAAGGCAGTGTTAGAAGGAACCTTTAGTCTGGGAGACCAGTTGGAAGATTTTTGCAGCAAACCCAGGTGTGAGTTGTTGGGCTAAGATGATAGCAAAGGAAATGGAAAGAAAGGGAGAGATGTAAGCAATATTTTGCATAAAACAAATGTACGCCAGGGGCTTTTGATATGATGGTTTTGGAAATTAAAGTTAATGAATAACAAAAGCCTAAAACTTTACCTCTGTGAAAACTTTTCAGGCATAGGCTTTGGGTTTCATAGATTGGATTTTCATAGATTTTGTATTCAACAAAACAGTTACAATATGAAAAAAATGGTCTTAATCTTGAAATAAGTGGGTGAAGCCGTGAATTCAAACAGATTTTTGTCCTCAGACAAAAAAGCAGTGATGTCTTTGATGTTCTCTAAACAGTTGTAGTTACTCTTGATTTGGTTTTAGGTCACTTTAGTCTGATTTTGATAATGGAAGGTTAACTTGATTGAGGACAGGTCCTGTGAATTATTGTTTCTTTCTGTCTGCTAGTATCTTTTGTTATTTGTAACTTGCAGCACCTGAACTCCATTGTGATTTTGAAAATGGGCTCTGCAACTGGGAACAAGATGAAGAGGATGATTTTGATTGGACAAGAAACCAAGGCTCTACTTCAACACTCAACACAGGACCAATGAAAGATCACACTTTGGGCACAATTAAAGGGCATTATCTCTACATAGAGTCTTCAGAACCACAGGTCTTCCAAAACAGAGCTGTGTTGCTCAGTCCTATTATTAGTGCCACTAACAATAAAAGTTGCATCTTTCGCTTCCATTATCACATGTTTGGAAAGCATGTTTACAGGCTGACAATTTATCAAAGAATTTCAAATAACACAAGGGGACATGTGCTGTGGCAGATATTTGGAAATCAAGGCAACAGATGGAAAAGGAAAGCCCTCAACATTGCCTCAACTCAGCCTTTTCAGGTATGGTTTCATGATCTAAAGTAGGAAATCAACAAAATGTCTTGAAAATATGAAAAATTGCCATTTCTTGAATTAAATAAGTTGAGGTGAGTAATTTGATCCAAGTTACTGTAGCAAACTTTTATCACTTAATTAAATGTGCTCCAAATAATATTTAGTTGAGTTCCCATCTTCCATTTCCCTTAATAATGAAGGAAGAGATTTCCTAAAGGTGAATGATGTTGAAAACAGCTGTAGGTTAAGTGGAGGCTTTCAGCAGCTGTTCCGTTAACTTTCCTGAAAGATTTGAAATTATTTCTGACATGGCACGAGGAACACAGAATCTTCAAGGTGCTAGAGACCTTGAATATAACTTAGTTACTCCAACTTTACAGATGAGGAACCTGAGGACCAGAGAGGTGAGAAGATATTCCCCCTCCCAGGTCATTCAACTATGATTGGAACCCAGGTTTCTTCTCTCCCAAACCACTAATTTCCCCCCCACTGCATCTGTTCTTCCCTGAATTCAAGTGAAAATAAACTTATTAAGAATTTGTTTACTTTATCATTGGTCTAGTAGATTTTCTTATGAAACACTGAAAGAAACCTCTTGCTTGTTTAATTCAAACATGATTTTTTTAATTGAACAAATTTCTTTTAATTTTACATTTTTGTTAAGCTTAGACCTTTAATCATTCTGGCCATGATGTTATTTCTCATCAGAAGATCTGGATTCTGGTCATAGACTAAATGATAAATAACAGATTATTATGATATAAGATGTGAAATGTAATATATTGTAGATTCATAGGATCATAGATTTAACATATAAATGGCCTTTAGATGTTATCTAGTCCAATCCTCTTCTTTTTCAGATGAGTAATTCAGTCTGAGAGAGGTTAAATGAGTAGCCAAGGGTCATACAAGTAGTAAATATCTGAGGCAGGATTTGAACTCAGGTCTTTTTGATTCCAAGTCCCACATTTTAATCCACTGTGATAGGTACTTGCACATCAGATATTACATATTATAATCATGAAGTATGAGATGAGATGAGATGATATCTAGGGAGAAAACTTGGCATAATGGATTGTGGGCCACTTTAGGAGTCAGAGAGCCCTGTCTCTGGTATAGCATAGCTTTTTTACCCTGGGCATGTCACTTAATTTGCTCTGGGTAATTCTCTGAGACTATAAATTAAAAAAAAAGGTTGCTAATCTTTATTATTTAACCTGATATGAAACAACATATTTAAGGATATTTTATATAATAGATTAAAATATTAACCATCTAGTGTCTATAGATATTGATTATATGTGACTTCATAGAGATCCCATTGGGATTGGTCTGATGTACAGATGGCTGTGTAATGATAGCATAAGAGTTAATTTGCTATATAGGGTGTGAAATCTTACTGTGTTGTCACAGTATCAAGGCACATGCAAACATCTGTAAAGTATTGGAAGATAGACTATGTGACATTGGTCACAATGACATGTTATTTGATTCAAAAAAGTTAAGTGTAAGCAAATTGTAATTTCCATTTCAGTGTTAAGACTCCTTAATTTATTTCCAAACTGCTTTGTGGGCAGTTAGGAAAAAAGGGAAGTTTGGCAGGTGAGAGACCTCATGGGGTTGATTACGGGCTAGCAGAGAAACCAATTGCCCTGGAGTCTAAAGCACTTCCAAGGAATGAACAATAACCCCTGTTTGAGTTTGGAACCATCAGAAGAGTTACAGACGGCCTTCTCTATGTGGTAATGCCCAAGGGTTCTTCTACCAAATTGTGTTATGAAATTTAGACGTGATGATCTGCAAAACAGGGATTTTGCAATTGTACAAATTCATCTCTTTGATTTGTTTATTACATAATCAATTTGACATAGTCTCATAGATTGCAGAGAAATATCCCAAAGCAATGACCCCAAGAAAAAGTTTACAAGGTCTATTTCCCGAGGTTAAAAATCGAAGTCTCTGGGGACAGGATGAGAATATTACTAGTTCTACAGTCACTGTAGCAGAACTATTCCTTAACTGATCAGTCTGTCACTGCCAGTCTTTCCTTCTATATGCCATGCATAGCCTTTGGCAGAGACTCATAGAACCACTATCACCTAGAGAGAATTCAGCTGAATGATTCAACCCCAAAATCCATCTTTAATACTTTGCCAACACTTCTTTTGCTGTATATGTGCAAAAAATGGAAGAATTTTTTTCATGTTGCATTAAATGATCTCTTGATCCATAGTACTGCCATATGACTTTGATCTATGGGTCATTTCCCTCTTTCATCACTTCCCTCAATGTGTAGATGCAGTACTTTTTCTTTCTCTCTGACTCAGTTTATTTTTTATTCTTTTTTTTTCTTTTCTTCCTATGCTACAGATTTGACAATGGCATGGATTCGGTAGAAAATCCTAGTACTTTTTTTTGTGATTGTTGACTCTTCTAATGTGTTCCATTTACATATGTCAGAAACACTGTATACTCATCATGAAATTCTATTGAATATGATAGATGGAGTTCTTTGTACGAGGAATCTCTGTGTAGTCACCTTCACTCACCCAAGAAATGTTTTATTTGCCAAGGATGCCGTGGAGTGTATTTTTAATTAGGTTGGAATAGATCTTCTCCAAGGTTCCTTCCAACTCAGAAATCCTCTGACTCTAAACTATTGCCATCACCTGTTGTATTGAATTTTAGAAAGGTGGATCTGAATATAAGAAGACATCTATGGAGATGTGAATCCAAACAACCCTAAAGAATAATATGCTAGTTGACAAGTCACTACCCTTATCTATTCCCAAACATGAGAACACTGGTTAGGCATTAGTGTTTCTGCCCATAGACTGATTCCAGATCACCAGACTTCTTATTGTGGAGCTTTGGGGTGTGGGATTCCTTACAAGTATGGAATTCAGGGCCCTTCCCTCTAACAGTATCATAAAGCTAAAGCTGGAAGGAACCAAGACACAATCTAGTCCAATCTAGTCCCAGGGAGGTTACACAATTTACCCAAGGTCACTCACCAAGTGGGAATCCATTTGCCTCCAGGGTTGAAGCTCTTTCTACTTCACCAGGCCTGGTCACAAGTTTAGTCTGCTTTATAAATGTGAAAATCTGAGGACAAAGAGGGATGACAAAGATGGTTTTACTTGAAGAAGTGAATATGTACTTACCCAAGAATTAAAGACATTTTTGTTGTTTCTCTGTGTTCATTTGACTCTAGCCTCTCTCCACCTTAGCTTGATTTCTTTCAGAATACTCTTCAGTCCTATTGCTAAACTCTTTTTAGTCATTGTAAGAAATATGGCTTTCTTAATTGTCTAAAAACAAAAACAAAAACACAAAAAACAAATCTGTTGCCCAACCTTTTAAAAATCCCTGCTAACTCCTTTCCCCAGTGGGCTTGTTGGATAGCAGCCAAGTACAGTACATGATGTTCTGTGCTACCTGCATGAAATTTCCTTGGGAAAATCAATCGGGTACAGCAAGCTGCTATACAGTGACACTGCCCTGAGGGACATGGAAGAATTCCTATATAAACGAGGAGTGACGTTTGCACCAGTCCCTCTTGGAGTGACCAATGAAAGAGAATTAAATGGATAGAGAAGCCCATCTTGGACATTTTACAAGAATAGAGTAAAATCACTGTACCTGTGATTTAATGATAAAGGAAATTCCCAGGTTTTGAAATTCCCTCTACCAATGTATGTTAACACCTCTGAAACAGTCTTAGAGATCTGCTTAGAGCGCTAGGAGTTGTGACTCTGACTTACTCAGGGTCATATAGTATGTATAAGAAGCAGAATTTGAACACAGGTCATCTTAGCTTTTAGGCAAACTCTCTAGTTGCCATACCATTTTATATTCAGTTTATAAATAATTTTATATTCATATTTATAATTTATAATCTTATTTATATTAATGATCCAAAGCCCTTTTATATTCAGTCTAGTAAAGAAATTAGTTTTAAAAAGCAAGTTCTAAAGAAGAGGTGGTCTTGTTATATAGGGCACATCAACAATCCTTCACCAAGGGATGTAGACAGTTTAAAGTCTATAAGGTTGGTCTTGAAGATAGGAAGACATGGGTTCAAATCCTACCCTGAATGCTTATTAGTTGTCAGTGCTTATTAGCAAGTCATTTAAACTCTGATCTTCAGTCTTCTTATCTGTAAAAAGGGGATGATAACACCAGCAGGACTTATCTCACATAGTTGTTATAAATCTCAAATGAAATAATTTATGTGAAATTTTTTGGAGACTTGAAAGCATTATATAAATGTCAACCATTATTCACATTATTCCTTTACTAGACACTCAATTAAGCATGGGTTCCTAACACAATATTTGAACATAATGTTTCCTTTGTAATCCTCTGAATTTTATTTTATGTATATAAAATATTATTCTGAGAAGGAAGGAATAAACTTCACCAGATTGCAAAAGGAGCCCAATAATTAAGAACCTTTGTAATCATGGTAATTATTTTCAATTAGCCAAACACTATTTTCTCTCTTACCTTCTATACTCCATGGACCTGAAGGGAATAACCTTGTAGCAAATTTGCATCATCAAGCAAAACAAATTTTCTCATTGATCATGTCTAAAAATATGTCTGATTCTGCATCTTGAGTCTATCATCTCCTTCCAGATTCATGGATTATGTTAAATGTAAATATAGATATAGATGGCTATAGGTATACCTAGAAAAACAGATACTTGAAAAATAATTAGTTACTCAGCAAATATTTCGTAAATATCTATGAGATGCCAGACACTACGCACTCCAAAGGAATCAAAGAAAGTGGGAAAGGATATATAAGTTCAAAAATATTTATTGCAGCTCTTTCCATGGTAGCCAAAAATTGGAAACTGAGAGATGATCTCCCTGGGAAAAGGCAACCAGATTGTGGAATATGAGTGTAATGGAATATTATTGTGCATAAGAAATGGAAAGTTTTAGAGTAAACTGAGAATACCTTTATTAACTGATGCAGAGTAAAGTGAGCAAAGCTA